GAAGGACTTGCAGATATCTCTGCAGCTAATAGTCGGTAACAGTTTCTAACTCTTCCAGCTAGACAACTTTGACCGTTTTGACCATTGCTGAGAAGCAGCAGCATAAAAAAAACGGCACTGCATAAAAACTGATTGTCAGAAACGGTAACACTTCCCAGACTTGGTTTCTTGGGTACAGTGAGAGAGATAAAGAGGAAATCATCTTTTTTTTTTTTTTTTGTTTATTTTTGTTTTTTTTTCCTCATACATCTTATATATATATATATATATATATATATATATATATACATTTTTTTTAAAAAAATAAAGTATTTCATGAAACACTTCATACTACTTGTTTTACTATGGGTGATCTTACCAAACCAAATAAAGAAAATATTTTGGAAAAATCTCTTTGGATCAGAAATCTTCAAACTTCTAAATTTTTTTTTTTTTTTAAATAAAAGAAAACAAAATTAAATTAGCAAAATTATAATGTTCCACAAATTGATTCCATAATAAGTGTCCAGGTATTGAGTTGGTGAGTTGGATGAAAATACTTTGTGGACTGGATGTTGTCGACCCCTGTCTTTGCATGTCGGTCTGAATGACAATATGATAATGGTTTATATTTAGCTCCTCAGATATTTTTTTTTCCCAAATAGGTTTTGTCTCCATTTTGACTAAATAAGTAAGAATTCTATTTTGGTTATAATCTCGATGGCAATTTAATATATCTTTGGACCACTTGGCAAATATTTTGGAGAAATCGAATATTTTGATCAGAAAATTCCAAGATAGCTTCTTAAGTTTTTTTTTTTTTTTTTTTTTTTTTTTTTTTTTTTTTTATATATATTATAATTATATTTATTATATTTTTATATAAAAAAAAAATTAATTTAAGATTTAATTAGTAAATAATAACTTTTTCTCTGAATATTTCTTTGAATGTCATCTGCTTTTTCTTTCAATTCTCAGACTGCCATTCTGTAGTCATCTGTAAATTGTGTTGGTGATTTTCTAAGCCTAGCTTAGATGTGGCACAAGGCCAAAAATCTGGGGCACCCTGTGAGGATCAAATTTGCTATTCAGTTGTATTGGAAACTATCATGACAAGCTTGCTAAACATTTCACCACTTCAAAGTGCCCAAATGATTTTCCAGGCAGAGCTTAGATGTGGCACAAGGCCAAAAATCTGGGGCACCTTGTGAGGATCAAACTCACTATTCAGTTGTAATTGATCTCGCAAGACAAGCTTGCTAACCATTACACCTCGTCGAAGTGTCCATCTGTAAAGATTGTTGATTGGAAATGAAGAATAACTCCGTCCCATCCAAACTTAAGTTTCTTTTGGGATGAAAAGTAATCGATATTAAGAAGAATAAAATAAATGTTAAAAAATTAGGAAGTAACGGTTCTTCAGTTTTTGTTCAGAATGAGTCTAAATAATTTATATCTGAATTCCTGTGATAAGTTATCATTATTTACACTATTTACATTTGGACTGTTGTCCTCATCTTTGTTGTTGTTACCACAATGTTTTGACCGGTGACCCCTCTTATATTCATCAGGTGTACTCGGATAGATATACACCTGGTGATGACCAGAGAATATAATGGCTGAAATGTTGTGATAACAACAACCAAGATGAGGATAATAGTTCAAATGTAAATAATAAATAAATATGGAAAATTATGTCAAGGGATTTTTTTTTTTTCTTACCCCAACTTATATTTTATATGTGCAGTTTTTTGGCAAATCTTCAGTGGGTGGTTTGCAACTGTTGTGGAACTAGAACAATCTACCCCAGCGAGCGAAATAAAGGGTTTGGTTTGACATTCAAACAATCTGAAGAAGGCCGAAGCGTACAATGGACGAACATTGTGATAAATATGGCAACAAAGATGAAGACAATAGTCCAAATAATGTAATTAGTGTACAAATCGATTTCAACACAAATTTTAAACTAAAACTCCCTCAATTTTCAAGCAATCTAATACAAACTTCACTCAGTAAATAAATTGATTGTTTAACAGTCATTTAACTTGATAATTGAGTCCACCCATATAGTGAAAACCTGTGTTAATAATGAAAAATGGCGATTTTTACTGGTTTCTTTCTTATTTTTTGTTGATCTTTCAACCAATTTTCATCAAATTTAACAATTGCTTTATAAATGTATCATCTTTTACGTCCCTGGTAGCACACTGACAAATTCAAAAACTCCAAAATAATTGTGTTCTGAAGTGGGTCTTCATGTTGCCTGCTTTTTCCCTTCATGTCCTCGGGTTAACTTCAATTGAATAAATACAGACTACTACTATTATATTAGTAACTGTATTAATACAAAATGTTTTTTAAAGAAAGTAATTGAAGAAGATAGACTCTGTTACATCTAAACCTGATGCTGTTTTTGCTCCATTCTAATTGAATGTTTTTTCTGATCGATCAGCTGGGTATGGTTACTAGTGTACAATAAAATATTAAATTAATTAAAAAAAAAAATACCTATTCATTAGATGTAGTGTATATACTCATGTATAAGCTGTCTTCATGTATAGTGCATTTTTTTTTTTTTTTTTTTTTTACATGAATTTTAACTCCTTCAGTGAGAAAAAAAAATTAACTGTGTATAAAGCAACTGGCCACTGAAAATGCCTCATTTTTAACCTCTTCAAAAATTTACCTGTGTATCATGTGAGCCCCTATTTTTTTGCATAAAAACTGATCATAACTCGCAGTATAATATGGTATAATATTAAATTAATATTGATTTAAATGGTAAAAAAAAAGACAGCCCTAGAATTGAGCATTGAGAATAGAATGGGTAAAATGATTATGAAACGATCATTTATAATTAGGAAGGACCACAAGGACAACTTCCCAAATAACACGATTATTTCGATTATTAAATCCTACAAAGAAGAATGTAGGCAAAATCAATAAAAAAAAATACAAGAAAAAGCAAACCCATTTGCATGCCAGACATTGGGTGTCAATCTATGGCAACGCACAAAGGAAGCTATGGAATAGTTTAAAAACATCTGAAACAAAGAAAAAATCCACATTTATGCAATTTGACGTTATTAATTTTTACCCAATCATCATAGAGAAATTAGCATTAACCCAGATATGGGCATGAAGTAAAAGTAACGTTTGTGATAAAGATATATGTATGTATGTATGTGTGTGTGTGTATATATATATATATATATATATATATATATATATATATATTTTAGATATCACTAAGATATATCTTGAAAGGGTAATATGAATAATGACAAAAGGAAAATTTATCTTAAGTAAGATTTTGGCTAAGATAAATTTTCCTTTTGTCTGTATTCATTGACTGCAAAATCCTGTAAATTTAATTTTACAAGGTGAAAATGATCATTTACATTATTGTACATTAATTCTGATTGTATAAAATCATACTTATTATAAAACCCAGGTTGTGTGTGTGTCTGTACGTTTTTATATTGGATCGGATTTCCTACATTTTTCAACCGATTTCAACAAAACTTCACAGGACTACGTAAAATTACCTTGCGGTGGTTCTGTCAGCGCCAAAAATTGGAAAAACACAATTGTTTTCGCACAAAATCAATTTGAAAACACGATTAGGAGGCATCACGAGAATGAAAGGGGGTCAACTCATATTGAGTTATACTTAAAACCCAGGTTGTTTGTGTGTGTGTGTGTGTGTTCATTTATATATGGGATCAGATTTCCTACATTTTTCAACCGATTTCAACAAAACTTCACTTTTTTTTTTTGGCAGGTAGTGTTTCTTATTGTCTTGCACACTTTTTTCTTTATTTTTACATTCAGAATGCTTTAAAAATTCCATTTACAAGGCAATTGTTTATAATAAAATTCTATTTAATCGATAGACTCATAACGATTGAAAACAATGTTTTTGTTTGAGTTTGGGTTTGACCAATTCGTAAAAAAAAAAAACAAAGCAAAAAAAAATCTAATTAAGACATGCATGTCCGTCAACCTTAAACAATAATCTTTGTCAATTTTATTTTTCAGTCTTTATGATGGTCGATACTTGATCTATCTCTTACTGTTATATCCCCGAGACGCGTAAGCTCTACTGCTAGTATATATATATATATATATATATATATATATATATATAAATGAAAGACATGTTTAGTGTTGCTTAATTTTATTGATCAACTTTTTTCAAATTACAAATAATCCTTCTCAAATGAGGAAATTCCGTGATAAATTGTCCAAAGTTCATTTTAGAAGAATTATTGTCCAGACTTTCTTAAGTCATCATCAGGATAGGTAGAGACAAATGTAAGGAGTTTCTTAGTGAGTTTGGAAAAGTCAGTCAATAGAATTAATTGACACAAAACATCTACTGTCTTTGATGACATTTGCCTTCAATAATGTTTGTTGCCTAAATACACACTGTGTGTGTGTGTGTGTGTGTGTGTGTGTGTGTATGCATGCATATATGCATGCATATATATATATATATATATATATATATATATATATATATAAAAATATGAGAAAATAAGTCATTGTAGATATTCACTGATGAATGGCAGGAGGATTGCTGGAAGGTCTGTCTATGAAATTCTATGAAATCAGCTCAGTGACAAATTTTATATTTGTATTAATCCACACACACACACACACACACATATATATCACGCATCAGTTTGATTTACTTCGGAAGATTCAGAACCATCCACACGTTTCGTAAACACAGAATACTGAGAACGGGTGTACATAGTGTGCCATGAAAAATCCAAGAAGTCCGTTTTATTATTTAACCATAGCTGAGAGAGAGGTGGATTTATACCTTACTTTGCATGTAAGTGAAAGTAAAAACCTGACTGGAATTTGAACTCAGCTCTCGGATTTCTCATTTTGACTTCCTATCACACACGCACACATCTCCAAATGAGAGAAAGAACAGATGGAGTAAAAAAACACACTTTGTAGCATTTATTAATGTAAAATATTTTTATTGTAATTTATAATAAAAGTACAATAATATATATATATATATATATATATATAGCAGGTTT